TGAACATGTTTCCTGCAACTTGACTGGTGAAGGCGGGAATTCACCTTTAGATATTTAGTATGTGATGTCATCAGCTGTGTACGTGTCTATAGCCTGATGCTTAACAAATACCAAGAGATGAGCTTTGGTGTGTCTGTACCTCCCCTGGTCGCTCCACACTCTGATGGTGCTACAAAGCGTTCAGAGCCTCCACCTCCATGTTTGACCACTGTGTTTGATTGTCCTATCACAACAGCTGCTGCAGCCATCACAGGAATAACATGTAGATCAATATTCATCAGGGATTTGATCATCTATGGTTGATTGAGCCTCACTAGTGTGTGCACACATTTTCAACTTGATTGTGATTAATAGAGGGAAATTTCATGGAGGTGTGTGAGTGCACAGGTTTATAAATCTGATTACTTTTGTTTAGTCTGGAACCTACACGGTTTTAAAGATGCATCATCGTTTTCAAATAACACAGCTTACTGGGAAACAGCACAGCTTTATTCTGGACACTTGTCTTTCCACAGCATTTCACAACAAGCCACAAGATTGTGAAAGTTGTAGTAAAGTGATAGTTCAGGTTATTTGAGGTGAGGCTGTGTGAGGTACTGATCTATAGTCAGTGTGTTACCTGCAGTAGATTCAGTTCAGAGAAGCAGCAGGAGCTCCAGCACAGAAGCAGAGTGATGAGCTGCTGTGGACAGGCTCAGCAGAGAAACATTTATTTTAGCCACTTAAAGAATACCAGTAAAAATACCAGTTATATCAATTGAAGTGTCATTTTCACACTTTATCTGCCGTCAAACAGACATTTACTTTGGAACTACAGTTTGTGAATTATTAAACTATTACTACGCACAAGCAAACCTACACGTGGCTCTAACTCAAGCAGCTGATACAGTGCATGCCATAGTAAAGGTCTATTTGAGACTGAAAATATTCAAAATAAAGCGACACTTCAACTAATATCAGTTTCTTTCTGTGGGAATTTCTTAAAGTAGCTAAAACATGTTTTTCTCCTGTCACTGCTATCACTTTCATATGACACATGAAGGGCTGGCGCTGATGGTATTGATGGTTCTGTTTAGTGAATCTGAATCCAGTATTGAAACTGCTTATCAAATCTGAATTCTAATTAGCTTTCAGAATTGGTAAGTAACTAAATTTGTAAAAAACTTAAACTCTTGGGGTTTTATTTTTGTGACAACCAGTGAATGCAGCGTCCTGACACAATCACTCTGTCTCTGATTTTGTCCAAAAGGTTAAAGTAGATTCTTGCAGAAAATGTGCTGTTATGGAAGAATGCTGAAAAGGGTAAATAAACTGATAGTTGTTGATATATATATAAAAAAGAAATTACATGTCAGTGTATGCATCTCACAGTAGCAGCTCAGTTCATTAAATCCCTGCAGCACCTGAAGGCAGCGGGCATGTGTGAGACAGATAAAGCTAACTGTGTTTACTGTGATCAGATCACATGTAAATGACAGCAGGTCTGTATGAAGTAGAGCTGCTGCACTAACATCAACCAGATAGTCGGGGTTGTACAAGTTCACTATTCACAAGGTTCAAAGTTCAGTTCACACAGATTCAACGAGTTCATGTTCGTTACTTCTGTGTACTACACCAAGCAAAAAACCATGGACCAGACTAAGACAGGGTTAGTGTTAGGTCATCAGCTCTCTGGTGTGAGACTAAATGATGTTCACGTTCTTCAGTTGTCCATCATTCACTGCACAGCAAACAGGTGGAAGTGTCCACACACACCTACACACCTACGTCTGGATGACGTAGATGATCTCCTGTCTGTGCGTCACTGTTTTTTTTACACATAATAATAATGATAGTGATAATAATACACTTTATTTATAAAGCACTTTTCATAGACGGGATGCAGCCCAAAGTGCTTTGACAAATATAGAAAGGGAAAGGAAGTTAAAAGGGACCTATTATGCTTTTTTGAGTTTTCCCCATCTTATAGTGTGTTATAGGTTTTTGGGCATGTAAAATGTCTCCAGTCACAAGGATCAAAGTTTACATCAAAGGGAGGAACTCTGTCAGGGTAAAACCCAATTTTCTTCCTTTGTATTGGGGATCCAGGCATTACTTCCTGGTCCTTTTGACATCAATACTTCTCTTGGTGCTGCCCACCTGCAAGCTGGACACCCCCTGCAAGCTTGGCACACCCCCACACAAGGCACAGCACATAACTACTTATAATGATGTCATGGTCTGCTATGGCAGACACCTTTTGTTAGTTTTGTTTGGACTTTTCGCACTTCCTGTTTTATTTTGTAATTGGGTTCCTTGTGTGTCAGTGTTTTTGCTTCCTGTCTCGGTCCTGTGTCTGTGTGGTGATTGTCTGCCCCGCCCTAATGTGTTTCACCTGTGTGCAATCACCTTGCCTCCTGTGTCTATATAGTCTTTGTGCTCCCCTTTGTCTGTGTCGGTTCGTCTGTTGATTTCTGGGTTTGTCCTCAGTCTGTTCATGTCTGCTTTACCTTCGGTCTGTTCATGTTGCCTGTTCCTGTTTCTTGTTTAAGTTCCTGTGTTTCCCTGTGCTTGTTTTTTAAGTTCTTTTGTTAAATAAACCTTTTGCACCATCTCCCAAGTGTTGGCTGCATTTTGGGTCCTACTTACCACAAGACCCTGACAAATGAAGAGTTTTCTTTAGTTTTGTAGCCATGCCAAAAAGACAGTGTTCTTAATAGCCTGGAGAAATCTACTTCATTTTTTCCAGTACAGATTCCGAAACTTCAGACACCATGAACAGTTAGACGCTTCATTTTCACAACAGTTATTTCTGTAATTCACACTTAATGTGGCTGAACAGGGGACTCAGGCTCACAGCCTGTCAGTCTGCATTGTTATTGTGGATTTGCGATGTTAACCACGTTACTGCGACCTGATCACATTAGCAAGAATGAACGTAGCAAAGATATAAATGCTTAAACGTTTGTCAGTAATAATGTCCTTGCAGACTGTCCAGCATCTTGATTTGCAGTGCTCTACATATTTCTACCTAATATTTTTTGGTAGGTTGTTCCACAGTTTAGGTGCGTAATAGCTGAAGGCCCCTTCCCCAGTTTTATTTTGGGGGACATGTGGCGCATTTAGAAGCCTTGTTGTGGAGGATGGATATTGGATGTGGAGGGACATTAACAGACAGACAGTCAGTGATGTAAGAAGGCAGCAGACCATTGAGAGCTTTGTATACAAGTAAAAGGACTTTAAAATCGATTCTAAAAGATACAGGGAGCCAATGTAGTGCAGCCAGTACAGGAGTAAGTTAAGTAGTCCGGCAGCAGAATCTGAATTAGCTGTAGTTTCTCAATTTACTTTCTCGGAAGACTAGTACAAAGAGCATTACAGTTGCCAATCTGCTTGAAACATGAGTATGAATGAGCTTCGCAGCATCTTGCATGACCGTGACTGAGTGCGACGGACTGCACCTTCAGTGTGTTTGAGTTAGCTTGTCGCTCTGATTCATTTCTGCCACATGAGCGTTGTCTGTCAGTAACACATCGATCATAATCACAACCAGTGAATCAGTGTAGTTATTGATGACATAGTCAGTTGGGTTGCTGCTCTTTATATCTGAGGGTCCATGTCATCAACACGACTGACGTGGAGGCGTTTCAGTGGAGCCAGCAGCATCTTCATGGAGGAGTCTGGTCCTGATGGATTCAGAAAGTCCAAATTTATCCAAAATAATAAGAAGCAAAATAATTCTTATTTGGAAACATCCAAGTGAAGAGAAGGATGAGGATGTTTTGTTTTTGTGTAACTTTAAAATCTGTCATGGAAGAAAAGTCTCATAACTTTGATAACTTCAAGACTGAGGATGACTCAGTGACATGGATATCATCTGATGTTTTCACTGGTTGGTGGCTGCATGTCTGTGTGTGTATTGTGTGTGTGTGTGTGTGTGTGTGTGTGTGTGTGTGTGTGTGTGTGTGTGTATGTGTGGGTGTTTGTGTGTGTGTGCAGTCCTCTATCTTACTAAGCCCTAAAAACAACAGCCGATCCTGGCCAATGGGCTGTGAGCTTTGCAGCCTGCCTCCTGATGATGTGCTGATGTGTGTGTTTTGATGGAGCACATTCTCCTTTTGAAAAGATCACTGGCTGGAGACACACACACACACACACACACACACACACACACACACACACACACACACACACACACACACACACACAGATCCAGCCAGTCCTGCTTGATGCTGACTCTCTTTTGCTTTTTCCTGATATCACTTAATTTCCCATGGATGTAAATCAGCAGTCTGTCAGTCTGTCTCACCTCACTACCCATCTGTGGTTCTCAGCTCTGAGCCCACTGGCTCCTACTGAAGCTCTAAATCAACACCTCATACATACAGTACTAATGTATACTTTCATTTCTAACACTGGAAATACTGCCTCCTCCACTCAGACTAGTTTCAGGTTACATCCCTGTTTATCCAGAGTCATAGAAAATATGAACCATTTTTGTCATAAATGCTATGAAGTCTTGAGTAACGGCTAAAAAGTATTTTGTGAGGTCACACTGAGCTTGACCTTCGACCTTTGACCACCAAAATCTAATCAGTTGTCCTAGAGTTCAAGTGAATGTTTGTACTAAATTTGCCCTTTAGGTGTTCTGGAGATATTGTGTTCACAAGGCCAAAATCATGTTATGTGAGGTCACCTTGACCTTTGACCTTTGACCACCAAAATGTAATTGTAATTTGCGTAATTCATAAGTCCAAGTGGACATTTGTGCCAAATTTGTTCTGTCAAGGCGTTACTGAGATATCGTCTCCACGAGAATGGGACGGACAGACAAGCTGAAAACAATATGGCTCTGGCTCTGACTGTCGCCGGCGCGGAGGAATAAAAACACTCAGTAATTCCTTTAAAAAACTATAGTGTGTGTTTTGGACAACCGTGAAGATTCATGGCACAGAGCCATCAGCTCCATGAAGCTTCCACACACAGACTTAATGTTTTTCTTTGCTGCTGGTTTGTGTCAGGCCGTCACTGTGACGCTCATCAGATGACTGGAAACTACATGTGGGATGAAGCCTCAGAGAAGGAGTTTCTGATCGGGACCAATCCTGACAGCCGGCTGTCTCTCTGGTGGGATGGATCAGAGCCGCTGTGGGTCACTCTGCAGAAGCTTGGAAAGAAGGTTTTCATGTACTACTGGCCTGGTGAGCGCACACATCACCACACACACTAACCTGAACACACATCAGCCTGTCTTCATGTATGGGAGGCATTTCTCAAACTGCAAACTACAGACACAGATGCAGCACTGACGCTGCTGCTCTGTGACTCCTGTTTTACACTGACAGCAGGTTCAACTGTGTTTACAAAAACAACAGTGACACTTTATTTGGATGGTCCACCTACAGAGAGTTTCCAGAGTGTTGCAACATTTCAAAAGGTTATTAGATGAGTTTGAACAATTCCACTGTTTCCTGCTAATGTTAACCATTACATGGTTTCCTCAACTGTTGAATATTTGCATAGAGGTGAGCGGTCTGACCAGAAGATCATATGAATATCTTTCTGGGTAGAATCACAATCCACCATCTGATTCATGAGTCTCCCCACAGATTTAGTTGAATTCATGTGATCACATGATTAGTCGTCAAAGTCACTTCAACTCCAGGCTAAAGGCCCAACTCGCACATCTCTGCATCCTCTCTCTGCTCTGATTTTATTCTGAAAGTCCTGACTGGAAGTTGTTATTCGTATCTTTTAGCCGCTTTGACGTTTCTTTTAGATGTTTGTCTGCTGCTACACCTCACCCACAATAAAGTCTTCTGTTTACAGAACTGTGTGGCAACCAATCACACGCCTTGCTTAGCTCATGTGGAGTATTGGTTTTGATAGTGCAGTTATTTGTTTATTTATTTATTTATTATATCTATTTATAAAGTTCATTTGCTGCCCCAGCTCGTCCCGCCTCTTCTTTCCCTGCCTGCAGGCAGGTCTCTGGACTGCAGCTGGTGACAGAGGTTCTTGTTCTGCTTGGGTGGAGAACTGGTGCATGTGCTGCTACGACAAACTGACAGAGGCTGCAGAGCAGAACAAGGACTGCTGTCTACAGGCTAGCTGTTTAACAGTTAACAGTGGACTGGTTAGCAGAGACTGAACTTTTACAATTAAATATAGAAATTTTTAATGAGCAACCACCTTATACTTCAAAACGTTTATTACTGCACACAACTAACAAATACTGACACAACAACAACACAACAAACACTCACTACACAATCAATGACAGTGAAAGAATAGATGTGTGTGAGACTGGAAGGTGACACTGAAAATATCCAACAGGTGAACAAACCAACATGCAGCTTCTACTGGAAGCAGCTGGTAAAGGTGGTGGTGGTAAATTTAGAAGAGAAGCCAACTGTGATTCCTGAATTCACCCACTGAGCAGAAAAGTGTTTCTGTGGAACAGCTGATTGAGGGAGAAGAGGATAATGATTATGATGATGATGATGATGATGATGATGATGATGATGATGATGATGATGATGATGAAGCAGCAGAGGTGAAGATGAAGATGTGTTTGAGATAAGTGGAGCATCATGCAGACAGAATGGGACGCCTACAGCATCAGTTACTAAGCTGAACTCCAGGAATGCTCTTGTACAGATACATATCTGTGGGTGGCTCATTCTCCTGGGGGGGCGGTGTCAAACCTACATCCCCTTTGAACATGATGGCCAGTAGAGGCCAGATGTTTAATGATGTTACTTTGAAGACACGTTTCTTAATAACGGTATTTAATTATAAAATAATTACAATGAATAAAAATCTGGCCTCCTGATGTTCAGGTGACTTTAAGGAGACCAGACACCAGGGACCAGATGCATAAATAGGGATGGGTACAGAGCTCGAGACTGTTCCCCAAAATCAGGGGTTTACCTTAATTGCGACCACGCCATCTGGTGGCGTTAGTGAGTAATGTCATGTTTTGGCACCTACACATATTTTAGGACAAACTTTTACAGATCTAATAAAGAGTTCACTTACTTCTTTTTCTTGTCACTCTAACTTCAAGGCCTGTGAGTTACTGTATGCAATGTTAATTATCCAAAGAACCGTCTGTAAATGATGTAGTAATTTTATATGTGTGTGTGTGTGTGTGTGTGTGTCAGGCTGCGAGGTGGAGATTCTGGGTGTCCGTCCATTTTTCTGTGAAGAATACGTCTACAACCCATCGGAGAAAAACCTGACAGACTCGATGGAGAACGCTCTCAGCGTCCTGAGGTAACGACACAGTGACCTGCACCTGTCACATCTTTCTTTTAGCCTCTACCTGTAGAGGAGCTTGAAGAGCTCCAGATGACATTGCACTGTCATGAAGGTAAAAATTCTGATTTGAACTGGAAAATCCCACAGTCATAAATGACCAACAGCATAAAGGCACACGTTATTAAACCAATAGCAAGCCACAGTGCAACCAGAACTTCCTGGTTCTTTTCCAGAACTAATGAAACCACATTCAGAATCCCACTGACATTTGTTACTCTGCTAATCATAATCGATCCAGCCTCTTACTCAACATGATGTTCTGTGGCTAACTTTTAGATTCGGACAATATGTCCCGTTGGAATCATAAGGTTTTGTGTTCAGAGTGGTTTTGAGATACTGAGCTTCAAAGTTTTTGCATTCCAAATAGCAAAAATGATATGTGGAACAGGTCTCTTTCATACATTAAAATGACAGACACCCTAATGGTATTCTACACATACAATATCAAAATCCTATCAAATTTGTAAATGGTTTTTTTTGGAACAGGTCAAATGCAGATAGAACCTTGTGATCCTGAGAACTTACTTTCCGTTTGAAATGATAAGGTTCAATATATCAAAACATGAAAACAAGCAATGATTTTCAGTTTACTCATAATTTGTTTGAAACATTCCATTAGTGTTGTTACAGAGTGTCTACATGTATCAGAAAGTTAAATTGAATGTGTTCTATTCTCTTCTATTTTTTTTTTTTGTTTTATGATGAATAATTTTTTCTTATTCAAAAATAGGATTACAGCTTGTGTATAAAGGTCAGTGGTAAATATTTTGCCCAGTGCAGAGGCTAATTAGATCTAGGAACCATTAGTTTAAGTTTCCTTTAGGTTAGATAGCAAGTAAGTGTAGCAGGTCAGTGTAAAGGCAGCATTAGGTTTTGTTTGTCTTATTTTGGGGGAAAAAAAGAAAAAAAGGTGGAATGGAAAGGTGAATGAATGAATGTGAAGATGCTATGGAGACTATTTAATTACCTTTAAAGGTGCAATGTGTAAGATCTGACCAGCTCAGGCCAGAATGTTAGAATGTTCAAACAATGAACTAACACTATCAATAGATAGATAGATAGATACTTTACCTCTCTGTTCCGCAGCACAGTGAGATGAGACGTTTACTGCACCTGTAGCTGCTTCTCTGTCCGGCCAGAATGTTGTGGAGAGGATGGCTGGTATTGTCCAAGATGGCCTCCATCTCCTGCCAAGCACAGACCCGGCCTTTTTGACCAGCTTGTCCAGTCTCTTTGTGTTCATGTCAGACATGCTGCTGCCCCAGAAGACTGCAGCATAAAAAAAATTGTGTGTGCATGTGAAGCCACAGTGATAATGTCATGACCAAGACTTCCATCTACTGTATTTTATAGATATCTACTGAAATGAGCATGCTAACCAACTAGCTGCATCCCGCACTGTGTTGTAATACCACTTTATGACACTAGATGCTGTGTGAGTCAGTGAAGCGTCTGGTCTGCCCTCAGTCCCACGAAGAAGAACAGCTTCCTCCACGACTTGAAGTTACGCTACAGCTCCAAACTAAAAAAAAAAAAATCTCCTGACTAGCATCACAGAAACACAGAAATGGCTGAAGCGCATAGAAAGTGATCTTTATCTCCATCTCCAAGAACCGCTCCGACAAGAAACCACGTTCAATGGCAAAGTAAAGAAGAAACACGAGTAAATCTTCCCAGCACTGGAGACAGCTCTGGGTAAAGAGATGCAGTTTGATGCCGAGCTGCAACTTTTCTGTTAGACAGGTGAGTAACATCTAATGTTGGTCTATAGAAAAAATTATCATCAGTGCAAATGACACACCATACTGACAAACACTTCAAGTGGCACAAATGTATGATTGATGATGTCGACAGATGTAGTGATTTAGTAGAGTTTAGCCTGTTCCTGCGGCTGTTGTCCAGCTAGATGCATCAGTAACTTTTCTTTTACAAGTAAGACAAAGAGACTGTTTGATCCAGAACCAGCGGGTTCAGGATCCACTGCCTAATACTGTATTTATTTTAGCATATTCATATCTATCCTTACTAATTATTATACACACACAGCAGACCTAACATGTTTGAATATAAAGAACTTGTATGATCTAAACTAATTGTCCTATCACATGTTTGTCTGTATCAGGACCAGAATTCCAGTCCAGTCCTCCCCAGTGATGGACCAGCACCTGCCTTTTCTTCTGCATCTGGCCTCATCAACCATCAACAACCACATTACAGTAACACCTTGGAGTATTATCCCTGCACAGAACACATATTGTCTGTACTGTGATCTTTTGCACATCCTGCTCAGCAGGAGTTTTGTCAACACTTTTGTACATAGTTTTTTTCATAGTTTTATTTTTTTTTAATATGTGTATCTATGTGTGTTTATCTTTTTGACTGGTGCAGTATTTATTGTTATTTCCTGTTAATATGTTTATTGGATACTGCATCAAACACCAAGCCAAATATCTTGTAAGTAAAAACCTACCTGGCAATAAACCTTATACTCTTCTGTCTTTGTGATGATGTCATCATCCCTTCCTCATGCTGCTGTCGCCTGACGCCCATGTGTCATGCAGTATCCCCTTGCCTTCATATTTGTATAGGTAAATAAAAACATACTGTTTGTACTACAAGTACTCATAATTTGTTTCAGTGCTATCAACAGTTTTAACTATCAACAATAAATGCACATATCAATAATAAACAACGACATGATTAAGTGAACAGGGGCGAAGAGGTGAAATGCTGCCACCCATGGAGGTGGAGCAAGTAGCACGATCTTACACATTAAACCTTTAAGGCATTAGCTGGATAATGTGCTAGTGTGCTCACAGTGAAAATAAACTCCTCAGCAAGATCTAAAACAACAAAAAAGATGAACTTGCCCTGCATCTGTACTGCTGTCCTTTTTCTTATAAACCTTGTGTTACAGGACGTTCATCTCCACTGAGCTTTCTGAGGTGACCTGACAGAGAGGCAGGCCCTGATTGGTTGCCTTGTGTGCATTCTAAGTGCTGATTTGCTCAGAAGTAAAACCTTATAAAGTTCAAGTTTGGAGATATGAGGTCTAAAAATGCATAAAAGTTAAAAACCTCACATGACCACACATAATGTTAATAGGTTGTAACAGAATAAAAATATGTGAATAACTCAATTTTGACCATAATGTCAGATAGAACCTTTTAATTCCAAGGGGACGAATAGTTTTTAGCTAATGTCACTGTTTTCTATTTATTTAGTTATTAGCCTTTACCAAACACCATTTCCCATCAGCCCAACATCATGTGTGAGATAAGGGGTCACGGTTAGTTCACAGTCTGTAATAACAGTTGGACAGTGGAGTGTGTGTGGTTAGAGTGTTTGTAGAAAACAGATTACAAATGGTGACAGAAGAGAGCGGAGTGAGTTTTATAGATATAGAAGAAACCATGTTAGACTCACGTGGTCACGCTTGTAGTTTTGTCACGTGAGCTGTAGTTTTTTCTGTGCTCACAAAGTAATCCTTTAACTTATTAATCAGACAGTTTCCCTTTAATAGCTCTCTGCAGTGGAGCTGATTTGTTTCTTAAACAGTAGCTAGAGAAACAGAGCGGAGCCTGGACGTGACAACACGACTTTCTCTCTGTGTAAGACAGAGTATGGCTTTGATGAGAAAATCAATATAACTGAAAAAAGTGAAAATAACTGCATGTTTTGATGAATGTTGAATTTAATCAGATTTCATTTTATCAGATAATGTTACTGTTGACATGTTAAATGATTTTGATTGTGTGTGTGTGTGTGTGTGTGTGTGTGTGTGTGTGTGTGTGTGTGTGTGTGCGCACGCGTGTCTGAGTGTGTAGGTCAGGCAAAGCAGACATGGCAGCTATATATTATGAGAAAATAGATGTGGAAGGCCATCACTTCGGTCCAGACTCTCATCAGGTCAGATCAGCTGTGAAACAACTGGATCATGCCATGCAGACACTCAACAGCAAAATCAAAGTTAGTAATATCTCTGCTGTTGTTATCACAGTTACATCTACCACTTCTGCACTTCTCCAATCATTCAGTTTGTTTTCATCTGTTTCTGCTGCCGTTTATATTCCTGCAGGAGAAGAACATGGCGAACCAGCTGAACGTTGTGCTATTTTCAGACCACGGCATGACAAAGATCCAGTGGATGGAGAAGGTCATAGAGTTGGACAAGTTCATCAACATGTCGGACATCGTCAAGATGATGGACAGAGGACCAGTTGTTAGTCTATGGCCAAAAGAAACCAAGTACCAACAGGTGAGACCAGGATCTTTCTTTTCTGCTCCGCCATCTTTGTGAATAAGAAGTCAGTGATCACAAAATGATTCATGGAGAAATTGATAAGGTGCTTAGATATAGTAAACACAGCTGAAGGTCCAGGTTGAGGAATACTTCAACTATATGATAACTTGTCCTGTCTCCTGTTCATTTTTTTTAATGTAACAAACAACAACAACCAAGAAAAAGAAGAAAAAAAAGAAGAAAAATACATATACACATATACATACATACATAAACATTGATGATTCTTCCAAAGAAGTAAGTCAGCAAGGAGGTCCACTTCTTGAAGCCATTTTGAATCAAGTATCTGAGTTTCTGAGACTCCTCTCTGACATATTCTGGAGGATACTGAAAGGCAAAGCAACAGATTAGTTTCTGAAGAAATTGTTGGCTTCTGGAATAGCTGAAGCTAAACTGCGTTGCTGTATGAAGGAGCAGTTGAAGTCGTATCAAGAGTGGGAAAATGGGGAGGGGAAGGAATGAAAAATGTAAACTGTAGTGTAAGCAGTGAGAGAAGATTAAACGGGAGTCGTATTGTGTAGCTGAGTTGAAGTACAGAGACTGGGGGGGTCCTCTGTGTCACCAGTGACTTTTTTAAATTGTGAGGGAGGAACTAGAGGAGGTTTGACATGTGCAGGTGTCTGACCAAGCAGCAAGAGTCATGCTGTATTAAAATGATTCCATTAACACTGCTGCTGCTGTGTGTGTGTGTGTGTGTGTGTGTGTGTGTGATGCCAGGTGTATGCCATGCTGTCTCGGGTCCCTAACATGCGTGTGTATGGGAGACAGGAGATCCCTCAACGTTTCCATTACAAAGGAGGGAAGTTTGTTTCACCCCTGACGCTGGTGGCTGACCCGGGCTGGTTTATCATCGAGGTAACAAATCATATATCACTTGTATCGCCACATTGACCAGGACAGTCTATATGATTGTCGTACGTAGAGCATTGAACGAGTGAGTGAGCAAGAGAGAGTGAAGGATTGATTTGTGTTTTTTAGCCCTAAGGTTATGACACAACACCATAAAGCTCAGATTATCCTACCACATGCATTACAAGCTACAATAATTATTATATACTATATTGAATATCCCAGAGAAACGTGCAGTAAAAGTAAAAGTCGACATGAAGCAACAATTCCTTCATTTAGCATCATCATCATAAGAACATGTTGCCTAACTAACTACTAAAGACAGTAATAACAATACACAGCATCAAAACCAAACCAAGCTGCTACAATAAACAATCAAGAAGCTCATGAGACAGTAAAATGAAATAGTATTCCTGCCTGTTTGAAGTTCATTCTGTGTCTGAACGTTACATCAAACTCTTACAGAACGGCCTCCACATCACTTCCAATATCATGATGGATGTTCATCAGTGCTCCATGTCTGCAGTGTCAACACTGGGCATCAAAGCACCAAACTCCTCCTTTATCTCCTGCTCTCCTCTTCAATCTACACTCATAATGTTAAGAAATATGACAGGATCTGCTGTGGTCACAGTTTATTTTCAGGATAGGATGTTAAAAAATAAACAAACTAATTTTTAAAAAATGTACACACAGTGCTTACAGGATTATGGCTGCTTGTGTCACTGATATACAGCAGTTTGTCAGCAAAGACAGTGAAGAAGAAGACTGGTAGCTTGTAAACATGGATGTAAAAAATGCAGGATTTAAAATACGTCCAGTATTGTCTTTGCAAATGTTTTCATGAGGACATAAATTTCATTTATTCAATACATTTCTCAGAGCTCAGACATTCACACTGAGATCATTACACTCATGTTGGTGAGTGTTGGTAATGGTTCATCTGAATCACATGTGCACCACAAAATCCATAAATGCTCACCTAATACTTTGTTCTATCTTTTGTTAAATCTGCTGTGTGTGTGTGTGTGTGTGTGTGTGTGTGTGTGTGTGTGTGTGTGTGTGTGTGTGGTTCAATCCAGAACAAGGCGAGCCTCCCGTACTGGAAAAATGACTCTGGGGCGCCCTCAGCTTGGCAGAACGGCTGGCATGGTTACGACAACGAGTTCCTTGACATGAGAGGCTTTTTCTTGGCAACAGGACCTGGTAACAAACACATCATATTTGTGCATGAAGTGCAATCTGGGTAATTTATTTACGCCTGTGATCTGTCAAGCAAGCAACACTTTGCGTAACAGAGTCTCTCAGCAGCCACACTGTGTCTGTACTGTGCCAGTGAAGTGTGCAGGAGAAATGATGTGTGTTGCTGCTCTGTCAGTCTCTTGTTTTTAGTGAAGTTAAATATTGTAAATTGTAATATCAGGATGTTATTAGATCTGATTATGTTTACTTAATTTCATCCAGACTTCAAGCGCAATCTACGAGCGGCTCCAATTCGAGCGGTGGACGTGTATAACGTGATGTGCTGGACACTGGGAGTGAAACCTTTGCCCAATAACGGCTCCTGGTCTCGGGTTGAGTACATCCTGAATGGCTCTGATGGTCCTCCCCAGTCCACAGCCCTCTGGACCTGCTGCATGGGTTTGTTAGGAATACTGCTGGCACTATGGGATTAAAAGATATAACAGCTCAGCGCTTGTGGCATCTGACAGTAGAGAGAAATGATGTAGAAGGAGTTACAACATTAAAATGTGTAGAGGTGAATGCATGTGAAAAGAGGGGAGAAGACATGACACATTTTCTCTTCCTTGTCCACTTCTGATCAGAATGAGTTCACGTCTGAGTACATTTACATTTTATGGTAAATTTAATAAATTCACAATTTGTGAAATCTAACAAATTGTTAAATTTGACATTTGCCTGTAAATTTTCTCTGTTTCAGCCGAGTTGATCAAATCAATTCAATTCTGTTTTATTTGTATAGCACCAAATCATAACATGCATCATCTCAAGGCACTTTACAGGGTAAGGTCAAGACCTTACATGATAACCATTCATTGTCATAGTAAAGCATGAAAAGTTATATATACAGTATACCAGCAGGACTCTCGCTTGTTTACATGTAATTATTTCTAAGTTACATACAGTACTTATGTCCAGGAAACTTTCTAGGAAATTATACAGAACAATTATAGTGAAAATCGAGCATTACTGATTTCTGGGTGTGTGTATGAATCATGAATGAATGAGTCATTTTGGAAATCACAGCAAAGCATTTTGAAACTGTTGGACTTCATGCAGTAAAGGATGCTGATTTTGCCTTATTTTCATATGTTGGAATTTGTATTACAGGGAATGATATAAGCTATACTTTTTTAAATTGGTAAAGCACAACTATGTGTAGGAGATGTTTTGAAGCCCTAATTTCTTTTCTTCCTTTTTTTATGCTCGGGCTCTTTTAAAATGTTGTTACTTCAGTCTGTAGAGGGTATGGTTATAACTGAGATATTGTTTTGATCTGATTTTGAATTCAGCTGCTCATGTCTCTGTGTCTGATCTGTAAGACCCTGTATGACATATGGTTTGTCAAATGTGCTGTATGAATAAATGTGCTTTGATTTGGAAACAGTTAAGTTTGATTCATTTTCAGTCCTTTCAGTTACATTTTAGTCAGTTAACTATTGCTAGTTTTTATCAAGCATCAACCTCCAAGGCTGAAAAATGAAGCATCAATACTAAAGAACCAAAAACTGCAGTTTCTCTAACGAACACTAGAGTCTGGCTCCAACAGTGAATCAAAACCATAGACTATAAAAGATAATATAAAGTAGATAAAAGAATAAGAAAATAAATGTATAAATATAAACAGGAATGAATAAAAGAATAAACTTTAAAAAAAATGGAAATATAAAGTGAAATAAATAAAACAATTTAAAAAATGCTTTAACCTATTGCTTTTGCCTATTGCTTTTACTGTATTGTTTTTGTTTCAGCATATTGTTTTACTTTTATCATATTTTTGCTTTTACCTATTGCTTTCACTGTATTGCTTTTGGTTTTATTTAGTTTTTATTTTCCCACATTGCTTTTGCTTTTTCTATTTGAAGGTGAGGGTCTGCCTGCAGACAGGCAGGCTACAATACTTGCAGTTACGCCCACTTCATGTTACATCATACAGCTGTGCCTCTGACTAGCTGTAGCTGAGGTGTTGGACTGCTGAATAAGTTTTAAAAACACACCAACCAGAGTCTCTCACTCGGAGGCTCCGGTACTAACAAGAGCACCGACCTGCAGCAGCTAGCTTGCTGGGCCAGCCTGCTGAATACATTTTAAAAACACACATTTACCAACCAGAGCATCTCACTCCAAGGCTCCGATGCTAATAGGAGCACCAAGCTGTGGATGAGATGCAATGGATCCGTTTACCAGCAGTCTGCACGGCGGCTAGCAGCTCACTCTCAGTCTTAGCAGAGTGGCTCTCTAACAGTTGGCAAAAGTGAGGGGACGTCAGGGCAGCCCTGCACAGACTGCTGCCCCTGCGGCCCTCTCCTTCGAATAGAAAAAGCAAAAGCAATGTGGGAAAAGCAAAACAACAGGTGAAAGCATTTTTTATTGTTTTATTTATTTTTCTTTATATTTCCAAAATTTTTCACTAATTAATTAATTCTTTCATTCATTCCTATCAGCTCAGCCGGTATGGGATGTTTAACTCCATATCTGGTAAACTTTAAAGCCAGGAGTTCTTCCTTTGTGTACGTTATTTTCTCCATCATCAGACGAAACAACGACGTAGAATAAAAAACATCAATCGATATATACAATATACAATACGATATATATACAATCCATGAATATATACAAATATATTACAAAAAAATACGAGCTATGCAGACTTTCTGCCACTTATTGCCAGCGCATCATTTGAATCACTATGATAGTAATCAATAGTATGATAGGTATGAGCTATGAAGGATAAGCTCAGGAAGGTGGAGATTCATGACATCACACTCATAACATTGAGGAATATACCTAATGGACAGAGCAGAAATGTCTTCATTGACTTTATTAGACAGACAGGGTTATGGAATAGAATTTAATCTGATCCACAATCCAGAGCAGAAGGTGGCGGTAATACACCTCTTATGCTGGTTGCCAACCGATGTTAAAAAAAAAAGAAGAAGAAGCCACACCTTTGGCTCCACCAGGAAGGGACCTCCCAACAACCACTGTACCTCAACACAAAGAAACAAATGATTAATACAACAGAAAATTGCCCATGTAACCCCACAGTGTTAAAATGTGTGCACTCTATATAAAACAATGTTAGGTTAAAGTAAATAAACTGATTCTGAACCAATCCAAGTGTGTGGTTAATGTTAAGTTGATGATATTGTTTGGGTGTGGTTGACTGCAAATCAAAAGAACCTGTGTTGATAACTAATGAGGTGAAATAAGATTGAAATGTTATTACCCTGTGTGGTTCTCCTGAGTGGGTTTGGTCATCACATTTACACTCAACTGTGAAGATGGTGTCAAGTCACTCTGTCTACAATCTCACACAGGGAGGGGGCTGGGGGTGGGTTGGAACAGATAGGCACCCCCACAGACACCACCCCCAGAATGGGGGCACTAGTGCAGATCACATACTGCTTTGTCTGAATGTATCCATTGACAACACAGCACAATCTGCTGCCATCACTCTGTTACTCTACAGTTCAGTGATATTTCCACATATTCATAGAGAAGGTCTTTGACTCTTACACTGTTCCTCTCATATGGAACCTGTACAGCTGCTTCATCGTAAGGTGGTGTGGCCTCAACATGTGGCAGAGTGTCGATGTACTGAAAGGTTCAGTCTAGAAAGTGACGACCTGCTCTCCAGTCTCAATGTCCATGGATGGATGCTACTCTGTAGCGACTGAGGTTGGGCTGGACTCGGCTCAGCCTCCCTCAGGTCAGTGTCAGGCCATGATTTATGACATGGTCCACCAAAGTGGCCCTGATGTCATCTGAAATATGTGGCTGTCTATTGCCAGGTCTTCTTTGTTCTTGTCTTCATCCTCCACCTCCTCTTCTTTGAAACACTGCTTCCATGTTTCAAAGTTCTCACAGAAGCTCACCTGAGGTCTCTCTGTAGCTCTAAGGCTCAGACTGAGCGCTGTTTCAAGTGTTTTTAGGTGTGTTTGTGTTTGGTGCAAAATTCAGGTGTGTTTTGCACTTTGAAAAAGAAGTGTTTTCCCAGTGATTGTAAGATTTAAGTTTTGGACAAAGTGTCTAATGTAAGAAAAAGTGTGTACTGTTTTTGCAAGTGTGTGTGTGTAGAACTGAAGTGTAAAGTAGATGTGTGATAAATGTGTTTGTACTTTTTGGTTCCTTTGTTTAAGGCATGGTTAACATTAGGGTTCTGATGCTCTGGTCTAAGCATTCACTTTTAGTGTGTAAGCAATCACAAAAAACTGTAATAGAAGTGTGTGTGGAGTTTTGACACAATGAACCAAATTGTGCAAAAAGTGTGTAAGCAATCGCAAAAAACTAACAAAAGAGATCACCTATATGGAGGCGCCACATCATATAAGACATCCAAGACCTCTCAGCTTGGTGGTCAAATCAATAGAAATGTCAGTCAGGACGTTACATTTCCCGAAAGATGAGTATCTGTAACCTAAATAGTAAGCCTGAACTCCTTAACATCTGAAAATGGACTACACTAACTGTTGTTTGCTGAATCCTGCCAGGTCAAGATGGACCAGTTTCCTTGCCTTGAGAGAAAGGGGTGTTCCCAATCAGAACTTAGCAAAGATGGCTGAGGACAATTTAGGATAACCACAAGAAGCTTGTGCTGTAAAAACTGGACCAGACTCAGTGAATAACTCCCTAAGCCCTATGATAACTATTAATTCAGCTACACAGACTAATGAGCAGTGATAACTAACATGTCTTTGGGGTCATCAGGTGGGAACCTCCTTTCACCAGTGTTTCGTCTAGTTGGTCCCACGACACCTCCAGGAGGCTAGACAGTGATCACTGGCGTCCCAGAGTCACTCCCCTAATGCCAGCCATCACTGCTCCTCACACCACAACTATTTTCTCCTTTACCTTGCCTATGCTACCACACACAACATTATCAACTAGGACAAAACACACCAGCAGATTCAGCAAACAAACTCCCCTAACCAGTTGGAGAAAATGGCGGCCATTTTGAATGAGGGAGGTAGAGTCAGGGAGAGGTGCCTGTTTGGGCTAGCTCTCCCCCGCCGGGTTAGGCTGTGCTCTACCTCCCCCTACTCCCCCACTCTCCAACAACTCACCTAAAACAAACAAACTCGCCTAGACAGTCAGAGACACACTACAGACCAATTCAGAGCAATACAAACAAACCAACTCACCTGAACTAACCGCATGGTCTCAAAGAGGCTCACACAGGCCACACCCTCCACTTAAAAACACTTCCTCTTCCTGGATTTTCTTCCTTGCTTCTCCTAAGAGTCTGTCTATCCTAAGTGCTCCCCCTGCTGGGCCCCCAGCTACCATTACTTCTTCTAATCCAAATCCACTGACTGGATCTTGCTGCCTCATCTGACATGTCTTTTACTATTTTCCTCACACTCTGTCCACTTGCTCCTAGCTCCCTTACCAAAGAGACAACAGACCTTGCTACAAATCCTCTACATCCTACTTCTACTGGACAAATCCTAACTTTCCATCCTCGCTGCTCTGCTTCTGCCCCTAACTCTGCATACCTGAGCTTTTTCCTTTCATATGCTTCTTCAACTGAAGCCTCCCATGGAACAGTCAGCTCTATGAAATATACTTTCATTCTACTCCTAGACCACAAGACTATGTCAGGCCTTAACTTTGTACTGGCTATTTCCTGGGGAACAACAAGCTTTCCTCCTAAATCTACCTGCATTTCCCAATCACAAGCATCCTCTAAGCTGCCTTGCCTCCTTGCTGTCTTACCAACTTTCTCTCCCTCTTGAACAAACTTTATTGCAACTCTCTTTGTTTTAGACCCTCCTAAATTTGCCTGCCTCCGTAGGTCTTCTATTCCTGCAGCTAAGCTTTTTAAAACCTGGTTATGTCGCCACGTGTACCGGCCTTGCGACAGACTAACCTTACAGCCTGACAAAATGTGCTTTAGAGTTGCCGTACCTGAACACAATGCACATAGCGGGTCTCCATTTACCCAGAGTTTTAGGTTCTGGGGAGTTGGCAATACATCATATGTTGCCCCTATCAAGAATCTAATGCTACTTTCCTCCATACTCCACAGCTCTTTCCAGCTAAGCTTTTTCTTATCTACACCTTCCCAATTTAACCACTGTCCCTGCTTAGCCTGAGCCACTGCCTTTGCACCCCTTAATATCTCCTCCTGTCTACGAACCTGTTCCACCACTAGCTTTCTCTTTTCCTTGGGACCTGCTCTACTCCACACCGGTTTGCCTGGGCCAAGCCCCAAGCCTCCCCGGCCTATTTGGACATTACCCACAATCTCTGTATGCCTGAGCGTTGCTTCTGCCTCCTGCACTGCCATTCTTGGATTCCACTTTCTCCCCTTGATTGGGTTTGGAACCACCTTACTGACTACCACATCTTTACTCCCAGATAACAGGAGCTCTG